CTTCCTACTTTAATTCTATCATTCTCTTTCATTCTTTCTATCTTTTTCATTCTCTCTTTTTCTTTCCTTTGTTTTCTCCCTTTYATTCATTCGTTCATTCACTCTTTCCTCCCCATTCATTAACCCTCTTATATTCTTCTTCCAGATTGCCATAGCACACCCGTTGGCCTAGAAAACATGTACATCATCCCTAACATTAGCTTCACAGCATCTTCTTTCTACGATAACAAATATATCCCATACAATGCTAGACTGAACGGTTACAACGGATGGAGYCCGAAACTAGCGAACCGCGAAAATGAATATCTACAAGTTGACCTTGGGTACCCTTACGTTATCTGTGCCATAGCAACACAAGGTAGTAGTCTCAAAACTGAGTGGGTAACGCAGTACAGGATAATGACATCAGTCTATGGAACGGAATGGGTTGCCTATAAAGAAAATAGTCAAGTTAAGGCAAGTTTAAGAGACACTATGTACATWATTTAAACTCATCATCTGTAAAGATAATGAGATCTATAGAAAACTTTTAAACTTAAACCTTGAATTTGAAATTTGAAAAACAAGAAAACTAAACGGAACTTTATTCCTTAACTAAGAAATTCATAGCTGCATTCCGACGTACAGCAAGGGATCTATACGTTCCTCCAAAAACAAGAAAACGCTATGTATGTTAACCTGGTTTGATTTTCTTAATGTTATCTTGACAAGAAAAGTCTTCCAAAAAGTCTGAAATATTGACTTTGTAATGACGTCACTGCAAAATTAAGCTGTCATAAAGCCTTCAAATATTCACCAGCAAAAACTACAGGAACATACCTGCTATTGCAATGAAAATATAAAACTCATTCATTATTGTGTCACTGTTATCAAGCGCTCATTAACAACGTTGTATTTTCATTTTGTGGCCTGGAAATCCKTTATTTCAAGAGGAAAAGTGACACCTCAGTCATTTTCAAATTTTCTCCATTCTCAGCTCAGCTGGTTATCTATTTTTTTAAGCAATTTGATGTAGTTCCATGTCGGGATATAGGCGGAGTTCCTGTGGTTTTGGCGGGAACATTTCGCGCTAAAAAACGCGCGCGCACTTGCTTACTTCACTTTCCCATACTCTGGTTCTCTCACTTTGACAATACTGCGTGGTTGAAAACATGATGCATTTTTCACAGAATTTCACAGGAAACACGGACCAAAACACTATCGTTAAGAATAGAGTCAATAAACCTTTGGCAAGATATGTCCGCATTTTTCCAACAAAGTATCGAATCTGGAGCACAATGAGAATTGAATTATTTGGCTATCCTGAAGGTAAAGATGTTCCTGTAGTATTTACATATGCAAATTGAATTAGTATATAGCGTGTTAGGTTTATACTAAGTCCAGAAATCCCAACTTACTTCTTTCAAGGGCTGTTTTTATGATGAAATAAATAATACATGACAAAGGAAACTTTTGAAGCATTCTTCTAGTGATTATGACGCCATTTTCAAACAGTCAGCCTCTTATTTAAGTCAAACAAGCATTCACCAAACTADCTGTTAAACAATTTCATTTAATAAAATGTATAACTTATTACATTTCATTTATTTATTTATTTATTCCTATATTTTATTCTGAAGCGTGTGATAATCTTCCACTTGGAATGGAATCAGACGTCCTTCAAAATATAACAGCCTCTTCTGGTCAAGACCCAGCTAAGAATGCCAGGCTAAATTACACATCAGGCTCGTCTTGGTGTGCCTCTACAAGTGACTCTGATCCTTATCTACAGATTGACTTGGGGTCATTTCACCTTTTTTGTGCTGTGGCTACACAGGGAAACAGCATGGCAGACCAGTGGGTGAAGACGTACCAGATAAATACATCTACTGATGGTACAACATGGACCACTTATCAGGAGAACAATATTGACAGGGTAATGTAGCATTAGTGATAGTATGCTAGATCAGTGGGTGAAGACGTACCAGATA